CGGGGAAAGCCACACCTTTCCTTTGAAAAGTCATGTACAATGTATGGCCTTACCGGTTTGCCAACAGTTGAAACTATGGCCTACAGCTACTGTTATGTCTTAAGCATAGATTTGTCAGGTATGGTACATTTGTTTCACGACGGGCTGTTCTCTCGTAGTCACACAAAGCAATGAAAAGGAAACATCTGTTGAGACCTGCAATATTCAGAGGGGGTCAAATGGTCGAGTATTGTCTCTTAGTCAAAAATGAAAAACTGCCTTTTTTTAAATCTTTTTCGGGGGGAAAGGAAGAAGTATGCTGTATCCATCTGTAATCCTCCAGGTAAAGAGCTATATACAGCAGGTTGTTCCTCAGGCATAAAACAAATGCAGACTGAGGTAATCGATATCATCTCCCAACATTAAGAAAACAGGAGATTCAACTCAAAGGAGCCCCATCAGTCATGATCCTTCAGGGACTGAGGCATTCCTTAGTATGATTTCTGAAAACCTCTGGGACTTTGTCATAAGAAGCCTGACTGCTGTAAGTGACATCTGTGATCCATGTGTCTGCCAGGTGTCTCAACAGTAAGCTGCCTTGGGAGGGAGTCTTAATGTTTTGTCACTTGAGGTTTTAGATGCAAATTACACGACTGTAGCAAACAGGTTTTAATGGATAATTTACTACCAATTTTCATTATAAAATACTGCAATACATTTCTTAATAAATCAATAAACAATAAAGAAAGCAAATCATCTTGGGATACATAAATATCTTTAAGTTGGCTACAAAATAAGAAAAGAGGAACAAATTTTTCTTGGCAATGCCTTAAATACATGTAGTGTAGATTGCAGTACAGAATCTTGATGACATTATCTATAGTCCACAACAGTTATCCCAAATGTGTTCTAACTGCCCTTTACAGTTAAACATTTCAGATTGATTCAAACATTAAGGCATTCAGTTTCTTTTAATCCTTGTGAAATGGCCCAAATAAGGCCATGACATCTATTTCTTTGCTTTTGAAAGTTAACAGTGCAACGGCAGACATGGCAGATGATGAAAACAAAGACTGAGGAAAACTAGTCCGACTACATTCACTCCTGACAATGCATGTACATGTACCAAGATATACATCGTATTACTATAAGAGACTGAACCTGCAGCTCAGGATTTATCTCTTCAATCCGAAATCCTTCGCATTGAATAGGTGTCGCCCGAAGCATGCAGTACAGTGGTTTACATGATCACATACCATCAGATTTATGTGCGAACGTGGGCGTAGAATGTCACATGGACACCACAAGCACCACCACAGGACGCAGACGTATGGATACTGCAGCCCCCCACATGAGTGATAAACCAAGCTAAAGTACAACCCTCTAAATCACCCGTGCTTTAAAAGGCTTGCTTTCTCAGCACTACTTGAGGCAGACCTTTACATCAATAGGAACATGCAGAGACTTGAAGTAGCCTAGGGCCTCTTACATCACTCTTGGAATAGCCGCCTTGTTCCTTTGATACTCTAAATCCTCGCTCTACAGCTATGATAAAATACTATGGAATATCTTGGCAGGTTGCTGAGAGCAACTGCAAAATGTAAGAATAGCAAGATTATGTGACTACATGGAGTAATCTGTATATGATGTATTGTTTCTATGGTATCATGGCTTCAAACTTCTCTATGTGACTTAGCCTGCTGCCTACGAAGCTGGTGTGTAACATCAAATGGAAGTTATACAGTCTTGACCAATCCAGATTCAGAATGGCATTTGAAGTCTTTTTTAACTGGCAGGGATCAAGACATTACCTTCAACCTCTATCTTAGTTCTATCGCAGCGTAGAAATGTTTTTCTTCCGCCTATCCGTCTTACTTCAAGATCACCGAGTAGGAATCCTTACAAATCCAGGTATCCTTCCTCATAAAATTAGATCTCAGGCAATGCATGAAATTGGAGTTATCTACGAGGCGCGCGTTCCACTACGAAAGGCTCTTTTTATCCCCTCAGCGATCCAGGGCTGGCCTGGAGCCTGGCCAATCTCTTCAACTGAACCGGGATCAACACCTCCTGTATAAACCTATAATTGATATATTCTTCATTCTGGAACGAGGAGAGTCAGTGATGGATTGCCAGTATTTGTGAAACGGCGATTAGAGTCGTGAAGCACAGCTCCGACAGCGCTGCCAGAGATAAGCCCGTTTTATATTGCAAACTACTTCGAGGAGAGGAAATTTAAGATAACTTTTTATTTCCATCCATAAAAGTGGGCCAGGTGGGACTACGTTCAATATTCTGGCTTAGCTCCTGCTGCACCTATGCCATTTCAAAATCTATTACTTTTGCATTTTGCTGTGATATCTCATATAAATTTGATCCTTTCATTGAAGATGACAGATTATATACAACTACGGGGCTCCAGATACCGTAAAAATACATAAAGCTGCTACATTTTTTAAATGTAGACACAGTTTTTTTCCCAACCATGTTTGGACATACTTGGTAATCATGACAGTCTATGCATTTAGTTTTCTCTGTATTTAAAGTATCTGTGAGATCTTATTAAAAGCATTTTAAGCCCTGATCATGATACTCTTAGCCAACTCCACATTGAAAAGTTCTAAGAAACTTTCAATTCCAATAACTGCCACCTCAATCCTTCCACCTGGCATTGACCAATTGCCCTGTAGTTATTATGGGGCAGGGGTCTGGCCCGGCATGGCAGGATGCCCAAAGGCAGCCATTACATCGACTGAAGGAATGGTATGGAGGTGTGTGGAAAACAATTTTCCACATCTCCAGAAGGCCTTTTAATATATCTTGACTTTGCTTTCTTTGCAAAACTACCATGTGTCTGAACAAAATCTGGAATCATCTTTGAAATGCGGCACAAAAACTCTGTAATAATCCAAAAGGCTTTGCATAAAACATGGCTCTGATCATGACATGTGAATGGTACATGTTGGTATGTGATGAAGATTTTCCAAGGCACATTTCTTTGGGAAACTTGTGTCTGTCTGCATTATCTGTATCACCCACAAGATGTGTGCCAATCGAGATAACGTTATCAAACACAGCTCTTCTGACACTGTCACAATTTTATGAGTTTGCCACAGTCGGTGGCTGATAAATAGCATTGGATAAGTTGAATGTATTGTCACATTTTGGTTAAGAGGATACCATTACGGCTGTCTAGTATATCATCTCTCACATTATGCACTGTCACATCATGCAGCGTAGTGCCAGAGTTCGATAAAACCATGGCGTCGCACAACAGAGGTGTTTTATCATTGATGAATAAATCATACTATGATGCATATGGGGTTGCATATTTTGAGACCTTTAATTTATTGGGCTGTCCTTCCCTGAAGCTCAAGATGTCAAACTGGGAATCAGTATACAGTACCCTTTTGCAACCAGAAATGCTGACATCATCAGAATGTCATCTTAATGCTCAGGTTTGCTTGTATTTCTTTCCTTTTCTTTCTACCCTGAAAGTTTGTAGTCTTAAAGGTTTAAGTACTCCAAACAATCTTAAGATTAGTGAAATGAAATGAAAAGAAGCCAGTAGTATGGCTCAAACTTTTCAAATCAGAATGTTCTTTTAGAAAAGAGCATTACTGCAGAGATTAAATCATTTTTGTCAGATAGATAGAAAAAAGATGGTACTGAAATTTACATACACTGTAGTACATTAGACTCTTACTAAAGCTGATAGAAATCTTTATAACAATTCATAAAAATTCTCTTCATCAAATTTTAGTCCATATCCCTAAACATGGTGGGTAAAGGCCCATACATTGATGCACCACTTGCTATGCACATTGACCATTAATACAATCAGTCAAGGGGTCAGTTTGGAGATGGACGGTGACCAAACGTCCATTCTGGGTGGAAGCAAACGAGGTGGATGTCAAAAGGGCAGGTATAGGATGGCTCAGGTCGTTAATCAAATCTGTTTTGTAATAAATGGAGTAGAACAACACGTTCTGCTAGGTGACAGGTGGTTATATGTGACATGACCAGCTGCCACCACATGCCGACTTTTTAACTGCTTGGATTCAACTTTTACCTCATGGCAGTGTTTCCCTACCCATTGGACAACTAAATGTAGCACAAGCACTAGAACTTGGATAGATTTGAGTCCTACTAGTGTCCTAGTCTAAAATGAATTGCTGCAATGAAAAGAAGTCACCTCTGCAGACTTATGTCAAAAGGTGAGAAAGGTATGGTGCAAACCGTTCATCACATCTTTCTTTATGGTTAATGGGGTACAACGATATCTTTTTTAAAGAAGGTAGTAGATTCCCACCCTTTGGCATCTTTGGCACTCTCCTCCTAATGGCTCACTTACACTTTAAGTCTGAAGAAAGCCACTGGCTGGAATAGACTCTGAAGAAGTCGACATCTTTCCAAGAAATTGGAGCCCAGGCCATTCCGTGTCCGCGCCCCATACTGCCTCTAGCTATCCATCCTTATACACTATTAAGCACCCAAATGCGTGGTGCTAAAATCGATGTGCGTGATAACCTCGTTATTTACACCTCGTGGCTGCACATGCAGGTGTAACTGCACCCGACGGATGGCGAGAACAGTGTGCTTCGGTCTCACAAGGCCCAGGCTTACCTGAGCATCACCGCATCAGGATCAATAGAAAAGATCCCTGTTTGATAGGAAGATCAAGTAGTGTCATCTTGCCATGCCTGTGTTCCAATCTGTCAGTATTACCAGCATCATGACATTATTATGTCAGTGGTTGCTCAGTCGGTCATTTCGCTGACACCTGCTATTGACTAGCTACCACCAAAGTTGAGTAATTAGTTCTGTGCTGTTTTGGGGTAGTGCAATCATCTTGGTGCTATAAATAGAGTCATAAAATAGGATCACATTAGACGTTCAGCCTTGCCGAACAAAATGGCTGATTTATCAAAATCAAATGCAGCTTTCTCTTGAGGAGCTCACGAACATCACAGCTCATCAACAAAAGGTTAATTCACAAAAAGGCTAATTAAGTGCCTCACCTTTCCCGGCGCGTCGTAAACACAGACAGTTGAGTTGGTCGGACATCCCCCAAAGTTGGTTTGGCATGGATCAATGGGCAGACAGACGCGACCGTCGCCGCTGTAGTTTGGTCTGCACTCACACCTGTGCTGGTTAGGGCCTGTGTGGATACAGTCAGCCTGAGGGGCACAGACTGCCTCCAGACAGGGGTCGATCGCTGTGGATGGAAGCAAAGACATGATATAAGAACAAGTACAAGGCCTGTGTAGACAATGGCAATACTTAACATCTATTGGTTAGGGCCAGTTTGTACAAAGTCTGTCTGAGGGGCACTGCCTTCAAACATGGGTCAATCGCTGTGGACGGAAGCAAAGACAGGATATGAGAAGAAACCCTGTGTACACTACACTACAGCAACAGCTATGGGGCACACACTGCCTTCAAACCGAGGTCAATCGCAGTAAATGTAAGAAATTAAAAACATGACATTAGTAGAACAAACCTTGTGTACATTGATCTACCATATTTGATATCCATTCTATCTATTACATGATCTTATTGAACAAGAAAACATAAAAATCTAGAATCTAGCTACTTACTTTAAAGAATCAATGCATGTATGAAATCGTACACTGGAACTTATCCATAAGTCAAACAACAATAACTTCAGCACCACAGACAAAACCTGCCAGACAACAAAAGATAAAGTCTGCACTTGAACAATGTATTTCCCCCATCAATAACTTGAGCTTCATAACTGAAAGATCAGCTTCATGGATAAGAATACACCCACAGCATTAAACAGCCTTGTAAACCTGTGCCTGTCTCAACGGGAATTGTCTGCGTGTCTGGAAGACGTTTCAGCACCGAGGATGAGACTAATCTTCATTACCAGATGACAGAGTAATGACTGCTAGATTTACTTCTGACAAGAAATGCATGCGGATATCATACTTTAAGTACATAAAACAACTTCAGAAAGTTTGTGATTGCCTCCCTAATAACTGGCTCACAGAAAGATGAGGCAGCAGCGATTAATCAACCACCGCTCTGAAACAAACGAGTCGTTTATCTTGTGCTGGTAAAGTTGTCCCATTTTCAGAAGCCGTATCCTGTTTAACACAAGCTATACAGTAATGTGAGACTTAAGTCTACAATGTATAAATCTTACAAGCTTGCCATGTAATTAAAAACTTTGCCTGCATGCAGAGCACTTCTAGCTAAGAAAAGTTTTCAAAGTACACACTGCTGGTTGTTGTGCATTAATGTATCACACTGATACACAAATGAGTCCCATTGAAGTGGATCTTTTATTGCCATAGGGTCAATTGAATGTGCATAATCTTCCCCTGCAAATGCAATTGCAGGAACAAATGTGAAACTAGGAGCTTTCATTAGTAACACTTCAAAGCTTTTGAAGGGCTGATGGTTGCTTGGGTACATACAAGGTCCAGGTCTATCCTTTTATTGGAAATATGATTTTCAAAACATTACAAGCAAAGATTCCTTATTTTCCCCAAGAATAAACAAAACCTAAAAGTAGGTCATACTCCCTATTGATAAGAAGCCCTGGCCCAAACAAAGGTCACATCTTGAAAGACCTTTCCAACTAATCAATCAATTTCCCTCTTTAAAGTCCTTTACATCTATCATTACAGATTCACACCAGGCAATTCAGCCATCTCATGACCTAATTCACCACAACTTGCTGACTATTCAATCATGCCTGAAATAATGTGGGTCAGATGGATTCAATTCTGAAATGGCATTCATCTGAAGGAGTCAAACAAATAAATCCTTATTCATCAAGATTTCTCTCCTCACTCATGCAAAGAGTAATGCCTTGATCACATTGTAAGTAAGAACTAAGAGGATGCAACTACCTAGGGTAGCTTAAAACAGGACCACAATAGGAAAAAAGAGAAAGAGAGCTGGCAAAGTAATGTCTAAGATGAGAGCACAGTGAAATGAGACCTTGCAGAGATGAGGTATAGATGAGAGGGGCACAACAGCTAGCAACAGACAAGAGACAATGGTAAATCTAGGTGATTGCCCACACCAGTATACTCTGAAATGCGACAATAATGCAGTGATGATGACCTTTGCAGAAAATTAAATGGCAGTTTTCAGCCAATCAGAGCTAGAGACATGAGTGTACATCTTTAAGACTGGATGATTGGATTAGTTTCCTCCAACCTTGAGATCTACTGGCATTATAAAACATGCGTGGACTGAAACGCACGTCTGAAATTGAAATGGCAGCAACTTCCTTCCATTAAATCTAGCCTTTCAATATGAGGCAGTCGTGTGCATTTAAATCTAAAAATACAACGTAAAAGGTATAGGTGAGCTGTGTATAAACATTTTATCATGCCAAATGCATTGGATACCAGGAAAATTGCTGGAAAAAAGCCCGCATGAATTGGTTCGCTTCGCAGGAAATGCGTTTGATCGGAGGTCACGCAACCGCCGAAATTGCAGGTTCGATTGCCCAAGCATTCTCTGGAAAGGCAGATTACATATGCCATCTCTGTGCATTAATATCCCCCGAGAAATTCCACAAGACAGGTTGACACCCTTGAATTGAAAACAGGCTGATGAGCATGTGCCCTTGGGACCTAGTTATCGCCCAAGGCAAACCATGTTCAACTTCAAGCACATTCTTTCACTCAAAGTTTCCACCCTTGGGGTGAAGAGAGGTGCCAAATGAACAACTGGATGATTGCCTAATTAGTAATTAGATCAAATTCAAGTTTCCTCTGTCGACTTTTCAATTGGCAAGAACTGATTTAACTGGATAGGCATACTTCACCAGGTATTGGACAGCTTGCCAAGCAATCTTTTTTTTTCACCAGCAAGTTTCTTATTATGATAACTTTTTACTTGAAGTTTCAATTTCATATCTGCAAATTGCAGGTTGGTATTTTGAGCCATGGTATCAAGTTTTGAGGTTTTGCCTGTCCAATACCTGCTGAAGTATCTAGTATCTAGTCAGTAACTGCAAAACAGTATTTTCTGTGGTCCTTCCACACTTCTTCACACACTTATATAATCACTTGTCTTCAAGTCCTGTTCGTCATTTCATGCTCAAGTTGATACCACAAAGCTTTCTCTCTGGAGGACACAAATTACACTTCATTCTGTCAAACTGGAACATACAGGAAGTTGGAGCAGTAAGCCTTTAATTCTGCTCCTAGGGAAATCACAGGACTAATAGCCCAGATAGACAATGATGGTTCGAGGTGAGCTTGACCTATCACATTCACAGCAGCACCATAGCCTCATGCAGTCAGACTCATGACAGTAATACGTGGTAAATTCCAGTTATTACTTTCCGTGGCGTCGTGAAAGAAGAACAGATTCTCCTCCTCTGGGGAAATCACGAAAGCGCTCAGTTGTTTTACAATTAGTGATAATAACTGAAGAGGTGACGATATAATTTGTCTCAGACAGCTGTTTCCGCAGTAACAAACTTGGCCCCACGCCCGCTCATTCTTCATTTTAACACCTTAGTCATGACATTGAAACTGGGACATTAAATCTGGGGAGGTGGACTGTGTTTGGGCCATTAAATCTTTCTGCAGCTGTGATACTCATGAAAGGGGTAGCTAAATTTGGATCCCGTTTTTAGTACAGGAGATAGTTTTATGGTCTATCTATATGAGGCAAAGGATGCAACACCTGAGACACAGTTTACAACTTTGGACCATTCCATTTCAGCAATTAAAAAGGGAACTTTTGAAGAAGTAGTGTTATATGATAACATATGAATTACATCCCAAATTTCTGGTAGAAAAGGTATATTAAGTATTGTATATACCTCACCATCCAAAGAGTAATCATATACCATTATCTGCTATTTCTTGCTTCCACCCCCTTCTGCTGAACACCATCTGCAGTTCATGGTTCTCTCATTATCAGCCGAACACAGTCCACCTCCCCAGTGTAACCAATATCTGCTCCACAGTCTGGTCTTTCCACAATCTTGTAGCTAATCTGAGGCGCTGCCCCAGAGTAGAGCAAGCAGAAAATTGGTTATTACCGCCTCACAGATAAGGCACACCTACAAAATTGGTGAGGAGATAAGCTCCATTATAGGCTGGTATATCCATCCTATTCTAGCTCAGGCTTGCTCCTCTCATTGCTTCACTACAGGATAGCCTGGCACCCATCCTTATTTAAATGTCTGGCACTTCTATCATCATTTATTTTGAATATGACATATTTGCTTAGCCTATCTAGGTGCCATCCTACATGTATTTGCATACCAGGACTCCCATACTCATGCCATAGCGCCATCCTATTTGTATTCCGGGGCCCCCGTACTCGCACTCTAAAAATATTTTTAGGTAAAACTGGGTCTAAACTAAATGCCTGCCGTTCAACTCTGAGCCAATCAGACTTCTCTCGTGTATCTCACTAGACATCTAAATGCCAATTACTCTATTCCCAGCCAGACTATATGGCAGTGTGCCAGGCTATCAGGCATCCTGCACTAGAATAGGATGGATACCTGGCCTAGGCTAGTGCCATTTTGGGTTCAGGTCATTCCACACAACTCTCATCAAATGGACCTGTCCTTGCTGGGAGGTAAAGATGCTGCCTGCACACTGAAGTCAGGTGGTAATTACATTTCTTATCAATGCCCAGACATCAATATAGGTCAGCAGAAGGAAAGACAGGTCTTATATTACTTGTACTGGTGGACATCAGAATTGGACCACAGGGTGTCATATCAGAGATGCCTGACAAGAGAATCGTGCCTGAGAACAGGAGCCAAGAAAGATGCCCAAACAGCCATGCCATGCCACTGATCTTGTGCCCTTGGGAAAGGCACTTTACATGACTTTCCTCACTTTGCTCAGGTGAAAACGAGTACTCTAATTGTTCTTTGTGTTGGTGGCAGCATGAAAATAAGTTGAAAAACTTGAGTGTGCCTTCACCATGTCCACAGAGAGAAAGAGGATCTAAGATATGCATGGAAGATATTATAGACAATTTTTTGGGTTATTGAATACCCAAATGGCATGTAACATGGAGATGCTGTGATGCCAGTGAGCAACTTAGTTGGAATCTTCCCACAGGGATATGTTTTACAATGTAATCTAATCCTTGGGTCTGCACTGTTGTATTTCTTCAGTAAAGATGCCTTTGCTGCCAAAATCCATTTTGCTTTGCTCTCCTTTTATTTGCCTTTACGATCTGGCAAGCAACAATGAAATGTTTACGGCCTCAGTCCATTTCATACAAATCTTCTACTTTTGCTTTGCTTTCTCAGGCATGGAGGAATATTAAGAAAGCCACCACCGTGCCTAGGAAATGATGGGAAAGACACTGACACTGGGTGAAGGGTTAATGACATACAATTATCGGAGGGTATTGAGGTGCAAAACTCAATCTACCCCGATGCCTTGATGGTTAACTTTCCCATTAAAGGCTCACCTTTCCCAAAGAAATGAGTTTTGCAGATAAACGAGAGGCCATTGTGACTGCAGGTTCATTATCCAGATTGACCAGCTTGAAGATAGACATACATGAATGGGAGAGGATAGAATGGTTGGCTAGAATGGTTGGCTAGAATGGTCACATCCATCATATGAACCCAAACTGGAGGCATTTTTGGAATGTCCATGAAAGTGTCCTGCAAAACCTACCTGTCTTGTTATGGAAATGGCTGTCTTTGATCCATGTTGGTGGTTGGTTCTGTCACAGCCTGGAAATGGCTGAGTGAATGGTCTACTCAGTGTATTTTCTAGAGTACTGGGCAAGATGAACCACCTCCTAAAACTAAAAGCACTAGTCTAATCATGTTGATAACAGTCATGAGAAAAGGTACTATCATGGGAACTGAACTTGTGTTACTAGACCAACAGGTCTTTGGTCTTTGTCTGGCAATGAAGAAAAGGGACTCCTTCAGGAACTCCTTGTCTTAAGTCAGCAAACTTGAGAATGTCTAGTCAGCATACTTCAAAATTGTGGCCAAGACAAACCAATCCATGAAGATACATGTACACCCTATCCATACATGCCATTATAGACGGGGTGTAGATCCATAGATCCTTGACCAATGTCTGGCAAACAGTAAGGATCCCTGAGCTATATCACCTGCAGACATCTTCAGACCCAATGAGCTCCCTGTCTGGTCAGCGTACTTGAGAGTTATGGCCAAGACAAACCATTTCCTGAAGACACTAATCATGTAAGAGTCATAATGCTGGGTAAGGTCAATATAAAACTTGTGTTACCAGTTGCATAGATCTTTCACCTGTGTCTAATAAAATAACTCTATGCTCTAATCTTCAGGCTACCTATACAGCTCCATGTCTAGTCAGTATACTAGAGAAATCTGGCCGCCAAGACAAACCATTCACCCTCAGACATCTTCCAAAGCTCCTTGTCTAGTCAGCATACAGCAATACAACTGTGGCCAAGACAAACTATTCCCTGTAGTCACTAATCATGGAAGAGTCATGACCCACTGGACTTACCGATTCTATAGATCTTTGACCAGGGTCTGACAATGACTGACAATCTCTGTGCTATTACCTTAAGGCTTCTTGAACTTCTACAACTCCCTTAAGTCCCCATCTAGTCAGCATACTTGAGAATTGTGGCCAAGACAAACCATTCCTTCAAGACACTAATCCTGTTAGAATCATGAGCCACTGGACGTGTGTTACCAATTCCATAGATCTTTGACCTGGGTCTGGCAATGAATGACAATCTCTGTGCTATCACCTTAAGGCTCCTTGAACTTCTACAACTCCCTTAAGTCCCTGTCTAGTCAGCATACTTGAGACTTGTGGCCAAGACAAATCATTCCTTGAAGACACTAACCATGTAAGAGTCATGAGCCACTGGACTTGTGTTACTGATCCCTATAGATCTTTGACCTGGGTCTGACAATGAATGACAATCTCTATGATATCACCTTAAGGCTCCTTGAACTTCTACAACTCTACAACTCCCTTAAGTCCCTGTCTAGTCAGCATACTTGTGGCCAAGATGAACCAGTCCCTAAAGACACTAATCATGTAAGAGTCATGAGGTAAGGTCAAGACCGGGGCTCTTCAGAAGTGGGCAGATGCAGTCTAATGGAAAAACAGGCCAGGCGTGACCGCCGGGGGTACTTACGCAGACAGGAGTTTTTGCCGTCACCATGGTAACCGGGCAGGCAGCGACAGACCAGTCCTTCACCCTGAGCCTGCTCCACACATCTCCCGAACTGGTTGCAGTCCAGAGCGTCGCAGTGAGGCAGCGCTGGAATGACACAGAGGATGAAGAGGTTAGGCAGGCTGAGGGGGTCAGGTCGCTTGTGAAACGTACATGACGACCTCGCTAAGTCTGTGGCTCTTTCATCTTAAGGTCAACTGTCAGTCAAAAGTCAGTCCAAAAGTTTGCGTACATGTAGCTGAAACTTGAGACAACTTTTGGTGGCTCAACTTCAACTTTTGAGCCACAAAGTGCTGGCAACATTGAAAGTTTCTATAGTGCAGAAAATTAAACCACTTAACGTGAACAGTACAAGGGTTAATGATACAGTTAGTGATACTTTTCTATCTGTTTTTAAAAGGTGAAAAAATGTTTGTCACTTAACCAGATTCACTGTCAAGCATTAGTCAAAAAGTTTGTACAACTTGTATACTTCAGAAAACTTTTTGAGCCTCAAGAATATAAATAGTACTGACTATTTTATTAACACATTAATAAGTCTATTCTCCGCAATTCCAGACATTCATATCTACTGAAGATGTTTCCTTCAGGCATAAGAAGCGTCTAGAAATCCCATTATATCCCGACTTCATTACTTTTACATCTGTCATCCAGATGTATATTACTTCAGATAGGCAAGTCTTTCCCCATAAGGTCCATCAAGGCATCCGGGCTTATCGCATCAAAGAGATACTGCCAAAAGAAAGAACCCCTCAAATCATACTTGTTATCAATAATTTAATCCTGTCGTATCTACCTGATATGCTCTCATCTGTGCCTTACTACTTTTGACATGCTAGTCTTTTCCCATAAGGTTTATGCAGTTTTGAGCAGGCATCTAGGCTCATCATATTAAAGAGATACTGCCAAAAGAAAGAACCCCTCAAATCTTACTTGTTATCAATAATTTGATCCTGCCGTATCTATGTGATATGCTCTCATCTGTGCCTTACTACTTTTGACATGCTAGTCTTTTCCCATAAGGTTTATACAGTTTTGAGCAGGCATCTGGGCTCATCATATTAAAGAGATACTGCCAAAAGAAAGAACCCCTCAAATCCTACTTGTTATCAATAATTTGATCCTGCCATATCTATATGATATGCTCTCATCTGTGCCTTACTACTTTTGACATGCTAGTCTTTTCCCATAAGGTTTATGCAGTTTTGAGCAGGCATCTAGGCTCATCATATTAAAGAGATACTGCCAAAAGAAAGAAAACCTTATATCCTACAGGTAATTAATTTGATCCTGTCATATCTACGAGATATTTTCTTATATGCCTTACTATTTTTGACATGCTAGTCTTTCCCCAAAAGGTCTGTCCAATTTTGAGCAGACATATGGGCTCTGCCATCATATGAAAGAACAGGGAAAGAGCCCTCAAATCTTACAGGTAATCAATTCGATACTCTTCATGATATCCTCTCATTTTTGGCTTATTACTCCAGACATACTTGTACGTGTATGATTGTATGGTCCATCGGATCTCCTTCAGGTTTTGTACATTGCAACAACTTGATGCTACCAATCTTCTTTTGACAGACAAAAAGGTCCTCAGATTCTTAAGATAATGACATCTGAATTCTGATCCTTCTATATCCACATCGTATCCTCTTCTGTGGACCTGATTCTTGGAGACGGACTCATACAAATTAACTCTCTTTGGCTACGCAGAGATATCTCTATGGAGTTAATTCCCATAACCCCCTTCACAGCCCTCAGGGTGTCTTATCTGAGTCATTGGTTGGAAGAAGTTCACAACTTAGGGGAATTGCTCAACTACAAAATGCTTACACATGGCTGGTCACCTATGTAGAGCGTGAAGTACGTGTACATGTATACAGATGAGTAATATAAATAACTGAAGGGAAGGTTCAGTGTCGTGCATTACCAATGGAATAGTTCAAGTATTCACAACTTTATCACAAGTGTCAAGAAAGATTTTCCAAGTACCAAAATCAATTAATACTGAAAGAATTATCTATAGAAACTCCACTCTGTAGCTTTCATTGGTAGCCATCATGGTGACCATTATAACTCACAGTATGCCTTGATGATATTCTACTTCCATAGGGAAGAAAATATAGCCAAAAATGTGGAGATAATTTGACAAGATTGATAATTTCTTCAGCTTACCTCTGCCTAGTAAATTATTATTAACTGTCATATTAGGAAATTAGAATGTTAAAAACACGAGTTAAGGAGCTTTCCATATCAAAAACTTTTCCACATAGAGTTTGTTACGAACACTTGTGAATATACCAGTACTACCGGTAACATTACAAACACATTTGTTATATGTCACCACTGCATACAATTGTGATGGAAGTTGACAATAATCCAACTTTAAACAATCTAATGTACATCACATTGGCAATGTCAGTTGCTTTCAATAACACCTTTAGCCTCTGCCAATACAGTGATTACACTTTCTGTCATCATAATGGCTTTGCCTTTACTTATTATCTACATTCATTCTAATCATTTCTACATTTGAGGCTGCCTTCCCGACACGTTTCAATGTTACCGATGGTGAGTTACTGCTGATTGTGTAATTGCACACAAACAGCCCCACCTGCGGTACAGTGTAAATTACTGCAATATCAAACCAATCTCATGACATTTTCCCAATATAGTTAGTGTTATGATTACCTGCCATAAGCCATCACCATAATTTTTGTGTCAATCAGACTTTGGGGAATGCCAAACTGATATTCCTTTATTAGTTTTCCTTCTATTATCAAGGAATTGGACGCCATGCTTTTAAATTAACATCCTTTGCACTTGTCTTTTAATATGACTCTCAGATCTTATTTATGTTCGGCCTTTTTTTCAGTGCAAGAACTTCAAAGGAATCTCCAAACATGATAAAGCAAGGCAAAGTGTCCTTTTTCACTGAAATCAATAACTTCAATCAATAACAGATGTAACTTTACATCAGAGCTTCTCTTCAAGCTGAAATCGCAAAGCCACCAGAAGAATTACAAAGTTTACACAAGAATCATTTCATATTTCATATTTTTGATATTTTACAAGTTGTTTGTAGTGCCCAAGGAATCAATTTCCTTTGTTCTTCAACACTTCAATGTAAAACTTCAGCAAAAGACCAAGATTTGAAAATAGAGGCCTGGCCACCAAACTCGACTGACTGTATATATTCATGCCGACACTGTGTGTGCCAAGGTGCATAGACTTTCTGTCCTTTTATTTCTTCATGTCAAACTGATATTCCAATTGAGCATCATTTTTAAATCCAAGACCCAAGAAATCAAATTGGAATGGTCTAAATACATGAAATACAGACACAGCTATGCGATATTTCTATTACCTGCTACTGAGTGCCAGACGGTCTCTTGGTAGCAGACAATTATAATGGCATCACAAATCACTGCAGTGCATTAACCCTGGGAGTGTCAGGTCCGATTAGAACCTGGCTTTGTTATCAGCCCTGGGAGCTGGGAGGGTTAACTAGCTTGGGGGACATTATTGGCTTTTAGGTCACACAACCAGACTGGGATTTGGCTTTACATGCCACTGACTTCTTACAAATGACTGGTTACAAATCTCAATGTCTAATAGGACTACTGTGTTTGAGCACTTATTTTGTGGTAGGAGTCAAATAAAAAGAGGTTTTCGCTGTTTTAAACAATTCTGTACTATGGTAGTGGTTCACTGGAAATATATTTTGTATTATTGATGATAATCAGATGTCTGCAAAAATAAAACTACCACAAAAGCTTCGAGAATTTACAGTACACTCAGCAGACAGCATATATAATGTGATATGTTTGAAAAATATGCACATGCACGACTAAAAACTAGAATGCTGAGCAAAAAAATGTGTTACAAGGAGCATAAAAAGAAAGCCGAATAATTCAAATCAAAATTGTAATCATAGCTCATATCTTTTCCGGTCCAGGAAGGTTGGCGTTAATCAATCTTCGCTGCCCCGAACAGAACGTTAGCCTTCATCTTTCCTCTGCCCTCGATCAAATTCAGCCGATATCCGCGTCACACTCAGTCATCGAATATCAAAGCAATAATTACGAGTCCTTCTCATCTTCCTGGTGTAATAAATAACTTTGATCGGAGCAGTTTTTCATATCATGTAGATCAACTTGAATTGCACGGTCTGAATAATGCAATACATGAGATAATCTTTCTAGATCGTTTGACCTACTAACTCAGCCAACTGCGGTGCATCATCTGAGTCCATGTCATCTCTGAGTCCATAGCTACAGGCAACCCAGAGCAATCAAAATCTCATTTTCCTTAGGCCTAGGGAAAAACTCTTGTGTTTCCAATTTCAGTCCTGAAAAAAATGGGGTTGGTAGGTAGGGATTCTTGCAGAAGTGATCCAAGAAATACAGTAAAACTATTAAAATATACATCAGAATAAAGATTTGTTTCCCAAAATGAATGAAATGGCATTTCAAAGGGTTTAAAATTCAGATGTCAGATCAAAAATCTTATGGCCTTGCCAGCAGTGGACAAAAAAAAAGACTGACTGGTTGTCGGTTTTTTTATAAACTGGAAACACAACATTTTTCCTAGGCCTTACCTATATAGGTACATGTACGTTTCCATTTCATTGACCAACACCCAGGACGAATATTGAACACCACAATCCTTTGGGGCTTCCTTAGATGAATGACCTTGTTCTAGGCTTGTATGACCTAATTGTGAAGTGATGACTACGATAACATACATGATTTATAAAATTTCCTTACTGATAAAATTTACTGTTCATTGCACATTCTTGCCCCTGGGGACTAAAATACATAATGTACAGCTAGACCAGCTGCAGTTTTTACAATACCGTTGTAAAGTATTAAGAAAAATTAAGTATAAAAGTCAAGTAATGAGCTAATCAACAAACTGTGAAATTAAATCAACAAATTACAAGAATATGTGTTGATCTAAACTACCTTCTTCCCATTTTATTACCACTGGGGAAAACTGTTATCAGCTGGAAGCTTGTCTACTGACTGTGATTGATAAAACCCGCTAGCAATAATTGGCTATTGGTTAAGACCATAGATAACATCACAACTTTTTAGTACTATACATGTAGAAAAATCAAAATGAGTAAAGAGCCAAATATTACAAAATGGCAGAGAGGAATATAACATAAACATGCTATGTAACCATACTCATGTATATCAAAATGCTCTGGCTCCCTGATGTCATTTTTCTTCAGAAATTTTCATTGCCCCTTAAAAGTGTCTTAAAAAAGTTTCTTCTTCTTTATTCATATATATGCAACTTTCATTTACCTTCCTACCTGAGGGTTTGAACCTATCTGTTGTTGTATTAGGTTTCGGAGATAAAATTTAGCTTCTGTGGATTTGACATCCTATATGTCTGTATCGTCGGGGACCTTTATGACTTTAGGCTCTGTAACCTCTGTACCACACAGATAAGTAATAAGACTCCTGGACAGAAGCCAGCCCTACCTGGGTGACCTGAGCCATATTACTCTTCTGTAGGTCAATCTGCAACTCATTCATAACTACTGGAAAAGTAGCTGAACTGACTTTTCCCTTGTCTCATTTGTAAAACATCTGACAATCCTTGAACTATTGCCAAGGAGTCAGCAATTGGTAGATATAAAGATATACATGTATTGATAGTGCGTTCTTTCCATCTAGATGATGCTTTCCGGTAATCTTTCTCTAAACACCTGTCATACAGTTTATCAAAGGATAATCATATTGCTCTGAGCACAGAAAGACTTTATATACTTTATAAACTAGAAAAGCTACACTTCCCAGTGAAGGTTTTCCCTCATGAGCCACATATTTTCAGCACATGCAGGATTCCCATTATGTTTCATGGGGTCAAATATAAAAAGGCCTTTGATCTATTAGGCCAAGACAAATTAAATCAAATGTCAAGTATGATCCGTCCCACGCACCAAAAAGGTTACCACCAGTTTCTACCTCATGTGACCTCCACTGGCTTAATGTGCTACCATCAATCTGAAAGTCAGGAGACCATTTCAGAAACTTTTGGTTAGGTGTAGATTGTACATTATTGGCAAACTGTTTTGGTTGATTCATAGATATATCCTGTACACCATCCTTCTTAGTCTGGTGCTGAATACTAGGTACACGTAAGTTATAACTCACCATGCCAACCCTAATTTTTCTAGTCTGCAAAGCTACAATTTATTCCAACCTTTACCTGCAAGCTAAGTTCAAAGTGTGGGCAGGGACACTGAAACTTCTAAACATTATGGATGTTCTCCTAAAAGGGGTTACTAAAGTTGATGTCTTCACCTACACAATGAGATAGTGGTATGTCTGCACCTCCTGCTATATGCAATTAAGATATCCGTGTCTTTGCTTCAACTGAAAGGTCCCCAAGGCAACACCTCGACGGCGCGCATCATATATCTTGTACTCCTGACCTTCACATTAATTGGTCTGGCAGTCGTCCAGACCTGCAATAATTCATGTGCCCTTTTCCTTTTGTCATGCTGTAGAGTCTGCTGAGGTCGATGTCATCTGCCAATTGAAATCACCCGCCATGATACCGACACATGACAGAGGTTACAGCCACCGAATTGTCTCTTCCTGATCTGTATCCTGTATGCAGCAGCGTTCGATCAGACAGCCATTAATAATTCTCAGGGTGACCAAGGTCACACTCTGTCTCACTGGTGCGACTATCTAAGGACACTGCAGGATTGTGAGGTGAGATGAGAAAATGTCAAAGTGCCTTCTTAGCAACTTATCAGCTGTGCAGGGTCTGAGGATATGTCTGAGTCTAAGACGTTCAGTTAGAGCCTAAGTCTAAACTCTTAAGATGTAAAGTCTGAACTTGAGTCTGAGCTTAAGTCTTACTCTATCCATCTTAAGTCCCATGTCTATATCCAATAGTCGAAGTCTAACTCTAAAAGTCTATGTACAGTTAAACTGGTAACTGTACAGGTGGCCACCTCTACATAAGGACCACCTGTCCCTAATGACCACCTGTCTACATAGACCAGATTTTAGCAGTCCCACTAAGTGTATACAGTAGGACTCACGTTCATCACAGTGTTCTCCCTTGTACCCTGAGAGACAGGTGCAGCTACCGTCTCCCTCCAGACCACTCTTACAGATGCCATGGACACAGGTGCACTCTGAAACCAGACAAACATAAACATGCATCCAAAAATAATTTCATCAGGTTGGTAGAACATAGTAGGACACCTGTAGTGTTTCTCACCTGCTTACTTAGCCACATTTTGGATTTGTATTCTCACCATGAAAGTGCCACCTACATCAGCTACATATAAGTGGCAAGAAGCAGTATTCCAGTCAGCAGCTCTGATGAGGAAGATGCCAGACAGGCATCGAAATGTAAGCAGGTGAGAAACACTATCAGTTGTGTAAGAAAAAACCCTATATATTATCAACATGCATCTCCTGCTGTAAAAGGCATTGAAGTGTCTGAGTCATCGTATAAAGTAGCACTCCCAGTTGGACAACTTTGTCTCTCAAGTTCTCTTCTTTACTTTATCACATTACGTAACCGTATCTTCTTTCCAATAATATCTGACAAGATAACTTATTGTCCCTCCAGTTGTCTCTTCTTTAATCTCTATCACATAACACAACCAGTGTCTTCTTTCCAATAGTATCTGACATGATACCAAACTCATTCAATAGCTTTTGATCCTTTTCTCTATCTTATTTCACATACGTGGTGTGAACACTAGCCAACTGCTGCCTACCCTGTATCAGTATAATCTAAAATCGGATACTACTAGTAATGCCATTTCACGCATCCTTTTTCTTTGTCCTTTCCTACATCTTTGCCACTCACACAATTTGATGCATGGCCAGTGTAATTACTGCAGTAACTGAAATAATTTACAGCGGTCAGTCTTTGGAACTGACAGGCCAATAACCCGCACTTCACATGACTCCGACATGTCCGAGTCCATGTCCAATCTCTCCCTCCACCGCCTCCGCACCGAACCAGCCTTCTCTAACAAAAACAGTTCCAACCTGCTTAAGTTGTTAAGAATTTACAGCCATGAAATTGGGTACCACAGCTGGGTAGCATTTCAGCTGGAGCGGGAAGACGGACAGTCTGTCAATTTCACAGTGACTGCCAATAAAATTACCCGCCCTTGATTTAAGGTACGCCTCTTTGCTGGCTCTTTTAACTCCTATAGGTCTGGGTCCTCTGGGGCGGTGAGACAGGGTTTATTGATGGCCATCTCGTTCTGTGTAATCGTATACTTTCTAGCTGGATTACCCATAATGTATCCCACAGGAGCTCTTGGACATGAAAGATACTGATAGTGTATCTTTAAATGGGATTTTTCGCCACCTGGCAACATTGGATCTTCTCTAAATTTTACGATAATGTTTCCATTACAATAATGCAGAACAATATCGAAGATACAAGGACTGTTTGTCCTTGTTTAGGTGACAGGTAAATCCAGAGCAATGTGCTTTATAATGATCCCACAGTAAAACTAGAAGTAAGAAAAGTTTTCTCTCTAATTTAGATGCAGTCAGCATGACATGAGGATACAGTAAACGATGCACATAATTCAATTAAAGGAGCGCTCGAGGGTACTTGCCTGGCATTCTAAAACAATGGTTGTGTTGGTACTATACAAAGCAGGGAATGGAATATCTCATATTGTTCAACAAAATCTTACTGTCATCAGGCAAAGAAAGAACACATACAACACATGTAACATATAGCTCTTACCTCCACTGCATTCTGGGCCATACAGTTTGTCATTTTTACAGGTCTCACAGGCTATGCCACCAAACCCTCCCTGGAAAATAAAAGACAATATTGATCATCAGAATATATCAGAATAACACTGTTTATTACATCTTTTATCTACATGAATCACTCAGTGCCATTCCCCTACACTTCTCTTTGTCACCATGGTTACAGATAGCTGGAGTTTTCGATTTTGTCAGCTTTTCTACAAGTTTGGGGAGTAGACTAGGAGAATTTCTTCAAGCTAAGGCAGTGCCTTTTCTGCATGGAGATCAGGTTCTACTGCTGATGCCACTGATAATATCATCTGTTTCACCTCACTCTACTTGTCTTGTGATAGATAACCTGTTACTAGTAGTGGCTGTATCGATGGCAAAACTTTTAAAGAAACATCCACGGATGGAAACCTTTTGAAAACATGATCTATGGCCCATGGCGGAGCTCCAGATAAATGTAGGTCTGGTCAATGGCGTGCCGCTGAAGACAAATAACCAACCATTTCACAACCCAGATACAATCAGCTCTCTTTCATAACAGACCTCGTTAATCTTGTTTCATCCTGATTAACCAAGTTAGAGCGCCAACGCATTTAACGATAACACCGTGCACTTGGCATGTTTTTAAAAACAAGGAGGCACTCAGGCTCAAAGGCACCAGTAAATCAGTCTGCACTCCTGTAAAGCAATTAAGCGTACTTGAGCTTCGCAAAGATTCTGTGAGTCGATAGCTGGAAGACTTACAAGAAGAATATGCATGTAAGTAGTTGGGTAACATTTGGGAATGTTCACTTTTACCATCTGGGATAGGCTAATGGTTTTCTAATGTAGGATTACAGTTCTAGCCTGTTATAAGTTTACAGGGACTCTTATACTAACAACCTATACTAGAGGAGTATAAGAGCCGTGGATAACTACTGTACATGTAACTTACATGTGTAACTGTAGGATGGTACACAGGCTAACACTCAGTTACACAGTTCTGGAAATTGACTTAACAAACACAAACACATGGAGATGGGCAGTGCCTAAAATTGTTCATACATATCCATCAAATTGCTTTCAGATCCTGCACTCGCCAGCGTAGCATATCGAACACTAATCTGTAATCTACATTGATAGCAGCTCCTCTGCCAAAAACTAACTTATCAAATGGTAGTCAAAGTTGGGGTGGGTCACGTTACGGCCATGTAACGATTTTCTCCGACTTAAATATTTATATCATTACTCCCTATTGGCATTAAGATGTCCTGTGACTGCAGTTTTGACAAATGAAGGAATTAAGGACAATAGGTTACGTTACTGGCAGTGAATGCAGAGGCTTGATTGGGATGGTTCCGGATAAGTGCTGCTTAGGTGTGCATTAAAGACATGTACAAGGAGGAGGCTCTTGGGAGATGAAAGAACAAGGCATGAAAGTAGTTCTTCTTCTTCTTCTTCTTCCCTTTTCGCGCTAACCTCAATCGTTTGAGGGCTCCAGCACGGTTGGGGTAGGGGTATTTGATGGGAGTGGTCGCAAGTTTTGTATGTATATATATATGTTGTGTATACATGTATGTTGTGGTCTGCAGCTCCTCAATGGGCAGGGGCGCCACTCCCTGTCCGCCACCGAGAGCAGGGTGGCGGTGAATTTTTGTCCTTCTTTCTGGTATCCTATATTTCTTTCTGGTATCCTATATTGAGCAGTGATTAGTTGATTCATTAGTATCAGCAAAAATAAGGGGACCTTAGTGCTGGTTGTTTTTGGACTGTTTGTAACCACTAGAAATATGTAAGTACTAGAAATATGTACGAAACTACTAGGAATATGAAATAATTACATGTATTAAATACATAGAGTAAATGTGCTGAAAAGTGAGTTTTAATATCAACACCATTAAGATTCTGCTATTCATGATGTATTTTTTTTTCGTTTTGCCCCCAAAACCTTACACTGAGGGCCTTTAATAACAGGGATGTGGACGTCCAATCAGCACCAAGGAAAGGCACCATGCTTCATTTCTTGCCTGTACAGATAAGTGACCATTACACATGTAGCAGTGTCCTAGATATTCCTTTACATCAAAAGCCAATCTAGAAGAATCGATAAAAAGGAGAAACCTTAAATCCAGCTTTAATGGAAGGAACATTGGCGGGATTTAAAGAAAGTAGAGGAAAAAGGCAATACTGACACTTGGCCTAAAGGAAGGATCTAGAATTTTAGGTAATAAAAAAGAGTAAAAAGACATTAATTTCATAGCATGACATAATTTTCAATTTGGACTCAAAAGAAAATGTCTTCAGTAAAAAGGGCCATGGAACTGGATATGGTGTTCTGCAACATTGAACAACTCTGATTCACCCAATGAAATTTTATACCATGACTCTGTAATAAATACAGCACAATTCAACGACCCCTGTACGGTTGAGTTTATAAGTAACGTTTGTCGTAACAACTAATTATGGTCGTACACCAGCAAAGAAAGGGTGGCCTCAAAACAATTGCCTGTGATAATTGGTATTTTCTTCAAGCACATCAAGTATGAAATGGATCACAATCAAAGATCAATTTACAGTTACAAATTACAGCAGGAAAGTAGGACACAGCATAAAGGTAAACCTCATAAAAGGAATATAAAATACAGCTCTAGGGCATTATATTGGGAACAGTTAATGTGACAAGTCACAAGGATGAGATCCCGAGAGCACTGTAATTTCAAAGTGGAAAAAAATCAATAAGAATACAATTCATCCAGACACTTTTACAGTATCATTTGTTGGAAAGATGTACAACTTAGACATGAATTCCCCTTCCCCAGGTAATGTTTTACTACTACAATTACGTAGACATATTCAGATATTCCACGACCCAGAAAAAGATCCTGTTATTTTTCACAAGTATAGAATACCACCTGTAAATGTGCCAAATTCCATGCACATCAGCGGAATGGCGGAAAGAATCAATCATAAGAAGGGTCAGGCCTGGCAGCCAGCGGTCCCAAGTGTTTTCCAGAGTTGGACATCAATTAGGGGAAACCTCCACAAATCAATATGAAATTAATCTGTTCACCGAAAGTATATTGCCTCATTTGTCAGCTTGCATCCATGCAGGAGACTTATGAAGTACAGTACTATTTGTCACAACTCAGTTGCTGAGTAGAGATTTCAGATTCAAACAAAGGAAATTTATGAGACCTGAGGGACTGGGCTAGGAAAGATTATATGGGTAACGATGATTAAAAATTCTAATTTACGATGAAACTAGAAGGTTGAGAAAAAATTATGCTGAATTAGGTTCACAAAAGAACAAAGACAGTGTTTTTAAAATCCATTATGTAATTACCTACTTCAAATTATTGAGTTTTAATAGTTCCTGTACACCTCAAGGTGATGGTACTGTATTTATTTTGAAATAACCCTCTAACAAACTTGTACAAAAGACATGTACAGTTGTGAAAATTTGTCAAACTTGACACCAAACAACTATGGAAGTAGATTGGTAGAACTTGTAGTACAATTAGCATTCTAGACACTTCAAAATTCACTGAGCCAGAACACGCACATTCAGTCTACTGGGGCCTTAAATGGCCCCAGACACTTAAGCAAATGGCTCTTACACACCCAAACTTGCCAGTAAGTCTGGGTTCATCTATAAAACCATGTTACTTATCAATATTTGTCGGCAGCTGGCAGATTGATTTCATGTGATAAACATCTATGTTATCCTAACCACACCCTCTCTACTAGTTTTCATGTGACTCAAACTTTTCCTCAACTTGCCCATACAACTTGTTACATTAAAGTAGAGATTGCAGGGAAAGCATGCAATACTTGGCTTCCTGATTTCCCCCATATGCATGTCCACCTCTAATACCTTCTGGCTCCATTCTGCCTGTCAATCTTCCCCCACCCAAGTGCTGTTGACCTACCCTGTGATGACTTGTGTTTATATTCTTGGACAAGTATACACTCAAACCCACAGACAAACTCACCTAGAACAATACTTACTACTGTGTATGCCATTTTATGTTCTCAGTTTCCAGTTCTTTGTTGGCATATGAAAGACAGACCATTTCGTATGTAGGCCGGAACTTAATCCCATAGATTAGGAACAATCCATCAAAACCTTGTTATACTACAAAGGGCAGTTATCCACACTAATTGACCTACTCTACTGAATTAAATGCAACCACTCTCTAATCCATTCCTGTATATTTTCACCACACTTCAAAGAAAGCAGAGTTTTCCATCAGTACGATTAGTGATGGCATTTTGAAAGCCTGATGGATGGACAAGGAAAGATCATATAAGTGGATACCAGTAGCTTTAGCTTAGGCAACTGTTCCTTTAGATTCACTGTGTAGCAATGGTTTTCTTTCCATCGACTACATTCTGTAACTTATGTAAGAAAAGTATGTGGAAGCCACATGGGGGTTGTATGTTTCCTAAATCCTAATCCTCTCCCTGCTCCCTATAATAAACTCCATAACTGATAAAAATTTAGTACCAAACAGCTGTATTGTTCCTTAGTAGGCTGAAGAGATAACACAAGAATAACAATGTTTTGTCTCATACATGCATATACTATTTGATCTTCACTCATAGCAGTACACTTTATATGAGTACCCAGCGTATGATGAAAGTTTGTACAAATGCCATTTATTTGTCTTACTTGAGTTTGTGTATTCCACTGTTCGGATAATGGCAAATGGAAGAGAGCAGAGAACTGAAACAATCTGTAACATCTTTGACCAACAGAGCATAAAGGAAGAGTCAGTGACTATTGATTGCATTATGTTTGCATGGTTCCTCATGTTGGAAAGAGTTTTACTGTTCAAGTTCAGACTGGAGAGAACTGAGACATGCCTCCTGGGCTAATAATAACTACGTTGAGTGGTTTCCCTTTTCAACATCTTCAAAACTCCATTCAACAAAGAACAACTGAAGAGACAATGTCTGGGCGAATGTCTCTTCCCCTGAGCTCAAAGACAAGACTGAGTGGACCGCTAAAACAGGGCTGGTGCCACGTATGGAGATAGTGGGTCGTCTCTCGTCTTTGAGCTTGCTGTCTCATTCCCCCTCAGTTAGCTTTACTTATCCTTGCCATTACCCTGTCTCCTCCACAAAATGAGACAATTCTGTTGTGGCAGACCGACAGACAAGCGAATGCACCTGGGTCCTTATAATTATAAAGCTATATTGATGGACTGAAACTCAACCTCTGGCTATGCTACATTTAAGGTTCTGAAGAGAACCTCAGAGGAGACAGTACTAGTGCTACTTCATCATACTACATAATAACCACAAACTAATAGGAAGGGATGTTACACTAGTCTGCTGTGCAGGGTTGTTGGTTCATTTTCAACATACATGTAACATAAAAAGTTTCTGTGCAGAATGTTCTCACTTCAAAGTCTTGGTGAACTGCCAACTTTGCCATTTGCACTCCTCTGATTTATACCATCAAATACCATTATAAAACATTTCTTTGCTGAACTAAAGTTTTACATTTCACAAGTCATGGGGAATTTACAACTTTGCCACTCCCTTCCTATGATTCATACATAGGATATCATAAAATCCTTTTTTCCTGAACTTTAAGTTTCTACTTCAGAGTCTTCCCAAGTTTGCCACTCCCCTCGTATGACTCATACCATAGGATATCATAAAATGCTTTTTTGCTGCACTTTAAGTTTCTACTTCAAAGTCTTCGGAATTTTGCCACTCCCTTGTATGATTCATATGACAGACTCCCATAAAATACTTCTTTGCTGTCAGAACTTAACTTTATACCTCTAAGAAGAGTCTAAGTTTCAGGGCGTCAACAACTTTGCCGGTCCTCCTGCTATGATTAATACTGTGGAAGACACAACAACGCAGTGATTTATACTTTTGCTTTCAGCTCCGTTTCACGTTACAATTTACCATAACCCTAGCCAGTGTCTGGAGGACCATGAAGACAGATAGCTTATATGCAATATTCAAGTCCACCAGCTAGCAATAAAGGTCTCCCCACAAATCTCTCTATATGGCCATCTATATATAACTTTATACGCTGAGGCTAGTGCTATTTTTTGAATGTAGAGTTATTAATTGAAAGTTCGGCTAATCTTTCTTCTACCACGTCAAGGCTTTTTCTCCATACTCTATATGGGTATGCTGACCCTTTGTGTAAATATCATGCAAATAAAAGTACATGTAATAGATAACATGTCCATTCACCAAAGGTTGTGTACGAAAATGTATTCTATACCTCTCACCAGAAAGTACTCTATCAATGTTTTCCCTTTATGATCAATGAACTGCCAACAAACTTCAATAAAAAAATGAAAATAGTCCAGCAATTCTACTGATTGACTCAGGAGGCCCATCATCCATCTATGGATCCATATTTTGATCGGTTTATAAACGACACAACCATCAGTTTTACAGTGTGCCATAACTTGTCTTTAGTCCATGACTGACCTCACAGGTACATGTTCCATTCCCCTGAATGCCCCCTGCACAGGCTCCATGGCCACTGCAGGGGTTGTCTGCTCCTCCAGGGCACTCTGAAAAACAAAACAAAACAACATGAAGGTTAGACATCCAGGCAATGAGATACACAAGGAAACAGTTACTTGCATAATTTGAATCTTATTCTCATATTACATTAACTTTTTCCAAACGTTTTTTAACGTAATACAATATGATCATGAATTCCTAATCATAGAAGACTAAGAAATCATTGCATTGCATTGCGCGCTGTACGAGACATAAAACACACAATCACTTTGGAACTGCTTGACTCCATGATAAACTTCAAAAGGGTCAAAATGTGACAATGATGAGTTGCTATCCAGATGTGACCCATTTTCAGTAAACAGAGGATTGGGAATGTAACATCCTATTACTGAGCCATTCCTCATGTATTTGTTTTGTAGCTCATGAATAATTTCATACTCAGTGATTTACTAGAGCTTATTGGTGTGTCTATGACAATTATCCAAGCTTTGTAAGGGAGCACATCTTCTCCCATACATACATTATAGATACCTACACAGAACCTTCTTTCATAAGTCTTCTTTTCTGGAATGGCAACATCTGACCAAACTTTTTTTTCCATCTATGCCTTCACTTGAACCATCACTCAAGGATAGCTGCACTTCTACAGAAGACTTAACAGTAGACAGGCAGATTCTTGTTATCTTTACTATCTTGTTTTTTCACCAAACATTAAGCAATGACAGTTTGATCGTCTAAGCCTCCTGTCCACTTGAACTATCAAACATGGATAGCTGCACTTCTATAGACTATTTATGGTACACAGTCAGTTTCCTCTGTCTTCAAGTTCAACCTACATGTAGGAAAGACACTCTCCCTAATATCTTTTTTCCCCACAGACAGAGCATCAGCACTAAGCAAAGACAGTCTCAACATCACATGCCAACCACATCAAACAGCATGGTAGAAGGAGATAAACCATGGGAAGATCTGGGAAGCCCTGAGGCCTTGCCCCATCCTGTCCTCGGTGCTGTCTTTCCTTTCAACCCGCTTCCTTGTCAGCAATGCTATCTTGGCTGGGTTTCCTACCTTCTGAAGGGTGCACTTCCTGACAGATTCACTTTGTAATGGATTCTCAACCATCCCGGTGGTAAAGTTGCCAGGGAGATACATCACGTTACTACAGTAATAGTTATAACCAAGTCCAAACAAGGTTTTACAGTTTTTACGATGAGCTGCTCAGTTCACTACCCTAAACTTAGGGTTAATGAAGTTTGGAATAGGTTTGGCAAAACAAGCACCCCCTTGAAGATTGCTGTTTAGGAAGTATGTATAGTATAATATTCTGCTATCATTCAAGATTTATTCATTTACAAAAGACAATTCAAACATTCAGTGGTGTTACAGAATGGTATAGAAGTTAACCTCAGCTTCGAAAAACATTTTATTGAATAAAGAAAAAAGCACATAAAACATAAAAACATTTCTAAGATACTATCTTGACGGCTCCTCTTTGTCACTTGTTAATGATCTCAATAACATTTCCCTTATCATTAGGCAAACAACAGTTGTGTCCATATCATTTGCAATTCAAACATCTTTAAATGAAACCACCTGACCTGACTCAAGACAGGAAGTCTCTTGCTATCAGGACTTCTGCCACAGGAATGGGACTGATGAAAGATTGGTCATTGGTCAACAAGTGAAGGCCTAGGGCAAGGTATGACCCAGAGGCCTTTACTTTTTGGCCATTAGCACATTGGACAAGCACACTTTGTCCTCTTACTCTTTCTCAACCAGTGTGCTGACTGCTGAGTTTTTAAGATGCCTGTGTGATGTTGTTCTTCTTACCAAAAGATATACATTAAATAGGGTCAAAACTGCCCAATGGAAGAAGACCACTCAGAGAGTTAATAAAATTTAATCTATGTAGTTTAAATTTTAAAGGGACCACCACCAAAGAGCGGTCACATTGGCCAGGTGGTCCTTATATAGAGGTCATCACTTGAATGTAGGTTTGAGCACCTATAAATCTCCAACAGGCATGATTTGCTATCCTTGGAATTGCGACCCTGACATACTTCTCTGACACAACTGTTCAGATATTTGGTAGTACACTCAAAGGACAAAGTATCCAACTTTTCACAGTCTTGCCCAAAGAATCTATAGGCCTGTCTCATTGCATGAATACAAATCTAATGCACATATTGGACGTATAGGAAATACAATACCAGACTCCCTATTCAACTACAGACCATTATTGGGGAGGTCTGTGCCTTCAGCTGAACTGTACACTGTAGATGCAAGTTTCTCACAATCTGTTATTTTCAGACTTATCAGGAAGAGTAGGGCTACATGTATGTGGTTGAAAATGTAAGCAATGGCAAATCCACATTGCAGCAAATGAAAAAGCTTCCTACTAGTCCTCAGTTGGCCACTTTACCCTTTTTTATATGTATTACCTTTACTCAGAAATCAGATTGTGTGAAGGTTTGTTGGTCTTTATATCAAAACCAAGCCTAGACCCCAAGCACACCCTTTTATCAGACTGGACAGGTTTTTTCTGACTCCTGGACTGGACCGGTTTTTCCGCCAACCCATTGCGTGTAGACAGATTCACTGCAGGGCATCTCCTATGATATCCAGTATCATCCTGGGAGGAGTAGGAATGTTGTGTGTGTAGTATCCTGCTGATATAACTGTTTGAAATCTGTAGATTCTAAATTTACAGTTGATGCGATTCACATGGGAGTCTTGTTTCTTGAAAACTGTCTCAGAAAAGGTAGGATATACTACCCTGGATGCCTTGTGTGCCATGAGTCTGGCATCCAGGCTTAAGATTTACAAACATCGGGACGCTATACAAAGAGGACGGAGTTAATCTTGGCAATGTATCTGCTTAGAAGCTGGTGTCTCCTCAGGACTGCTCTGGAATCACCTGGTATCACTTAACCTTTGCTGCAGACTGTTGTGTGGGCAACTGTGTGTGTCATCAAGGGTTCAAAGAAAGGACAAGATTTACTGCCACAACAGTCATATACTGATACCACCATATTTCGGTTATTGTGGTGGAGCAACAACATGTGCCTTTCAATCATATCAGTGAGGTTTAAACATCTTTGCTCATATCTACTGATTACTGCCACCATATCCATAGACTCCAGAAGACTCTTGTCACTTACAGGTTCATCAAGATTGAATAATGGCCTGAAACACAATTTCACAGCATGTGAGGTGTCATATCAATCATCACAACACACTACAATCAGATCAGCCAATTTCATGGGAAACCATGCGAGAACAGCACTCAATTAATCCCCAGCAACCATTCTGTTCTCTGGGTACACATAATCAATTACTGCTCTGCACTTGCTTCAGCTTCAGAGCCGACATCTATGCCCCATTTTTCCACAGAAGCCTCTGTTAACAGATGGCCCGTTTTCGGTAGATTGATGCTTACGCAGATAAAGACACTTTGTCAGTTTTAAGTTTTCAAAAATACGTGAATCACAGTGGCTTTGGGAAAAGAGGGGATGAAGCTGGGAGACATTTACTGAGATTTCAATCCCTTCCGCGGCTGTTTTTCTTCTAAATGTGAAATCCTCCCAAAGTCAATACTCCATTCATCACAGCTTACACCTGTAAGAGTGCCATTCTGTGATAATGAACTGTCACAGGAGGCAGGCGGCTGGAAATAAACGCCGTTTCATCTGGAGCATTAAATGCGAAACGTAGATAAAAGCCATTAGCAATTCAGGGGAAGGACACAGTCTCAAATGGGATTTGGAATAAATGTGACAGTTGGGGGATATTTACAGTACATTTTTGTAATTAAGTGAGTTTTTACTGCCTTAGTATCTGAGCTCGATTGGTAGGTAGTCACCGGCTGGCCTGACTTGACGTTGTACCAGAGCAAAATTGCTCCATTTAAAGACTGTGCACGAAATGTCAACTGGCGGCTGGCAGTATATAGACTGCTATTAAAGTTTTAGCTACATTTGGTGTGATGGATAATGTTTACAATTACATGTGCACGGTCATGGCCAATGTATGTATGTAGTGACAATTGACTTTGTATAGACCGATTCCCTGGTTCTTGGGGTGTGCTTTAAACCTTATAATGTATAAAATGTTTTTTGCTTTGAGCTCTCACCCCAAACTTATGCTGTGAACGTGTGCTCTGTCTTATTACTGTACTACTATACTGCGTCATGAACCGGTGCAGTGCCAAGGTGGCTGAGTGTTTGCCTTGCATTCGGTGGGTTGTGAGTAAGATCCCCGGGCCTAGTCATACCAAAGACTTTGCTTTTTCTGCTTAGCACAGCAAGTATAGTAGTAAACACACATCACTACCAGTGCCGTGGTCCACTGCTTTAGTGACTGCACTATTGTGTGGCCCAAGGGCTATTGAACCAGAGATGGGTGCTGCCCTATACGCCCCCTGATGCATGAAGGCCTAAATTTTCTAACAAACTGACTAACTACTAATATACTGTGTCAACTATATACTGTGTAAAAGCCCCCCCTCAAAATGATTTTGTACTTGTGTATTCATTTGTACAAATTGTAGTAACCAATACAGTGAGATCTAGAAAACTATAGAACTTGAAAATTCCTTGGTCATTTAAAACGCATCAAACTGTCATTTTCAGTCAAACTAAATGATGTATCAGACTTAAGTTATGCTGAATACAGAATGCCATGTGTATTCATCTGTGGTCATTTTACAATGAGGAACTAAGGACGTAGAAAATCCTTGCTCATTTAAAACACATCAAACTGTCAAAAGAAATTGTATTTCTCAATAGCAGCCCTCGCAACCTTGGCCTTATTCCAGATGGTGCATGGAAAAATACATGCATGGCAACTGAAAGTGATCATTACATCCCATATCCAACATGACAACCTCTACACTGTAATTACGATGGCAACATGCTATGCAATCATATTATTTGGTACCACAGTAGCATGTATGAAAAAAACAGGCTTTGAACAAGCATTTTGAGAACACATGCTTCAAAATAAAACTACAGTTTGAATCAATAATGGTATGAATTACCATGCCATG